CAAATGCAAAGTGGCTGAATCAAATGTGTACACAGATTGGAGAAAATCACAGGAAAGAGTCACATTCCATGTACCAACAGATAAGTATGTTAACAGGAAAGATGACACGTAACAGCACTGGATGTTTAAAATCAAAAGATGGTGACTTATTATTGGAACATAGTAATATAATTAGCAGATGGACAGAGTATATAGGGGAATTGTATGATGATAATAGACCCGATGTAGAACTGCAGACAAACAATGATGGTAAACCAATAATGACTGCAGAAGTTGATGATGCAATACATCATATAAAGAAAGGAAAAGCACTCGGGCCTGACAAAATCTCACTGGAAGAAACCGAAGCACTGGGAAATTTTTGAACTGAAATAATAACTAAACTTTTTAATGATATTTATAATAGTGGGTATATTCCAAATGACCTTTTAAAATCCATATTTATAGCTCTGCCAAAGAAACCAGTCACTTTAAAATGTGAAGACCATCGCACAATAAGTCTTATGAGTCACATGACTAAGATTTTACTGAGAATAATTATGAGAAGAATAAGAAACAAAAATAAACCAGAAATCAGCGACGAACAATGTGGATTTATAGAGGAAAAAGGTACAAAAAATGACATTTACATCCTAAGGACATTGTCAGAAAGAGCTATAGAAGTAAAGACTATACAAAAGCATATGACTATGTGAAGCATGAAGAAGGGATTAAACTGTTAGAAAAATTAAACATTAATAGAAAAGATCTACGAATAATAAAGAATATGTATTGGCAGCAAACAGCAGCTATAAGAATTAACAACTGTTTAGGTACATTTCAAAGCATAAAGAGGCGCGTACGACAAGGATGTGTAATGTCACCTGATTTGTTTTCAGTATACAGTGAATATATAATGAGATCTTTAACTGAAATGCCCGGAATTGTGGTTGATGGGCCCAATACAAACAGTTTACGCTATGCTGATGACACAGTCTTGATAGCAGCAAGTCAGAAAGAACTACAGTAAATGATAGACATTGTGTGTTAGAAAGTGGAAGAATGGGCCTCAGTTTGATTAATGGGAAGACAATAGTAATGGCGGAATCAAAGAAACGAATTATTCCTAAATGTTTAATAAAAGTCGATGGTGTTATTTTAGGACAAGTACAGAAATTTAAGTATCTGGGCACATGGATAACATCAGATGAAAGATGCATAATTGAGATAAGAAACAAAATAGGACAGGCAAAAACTGCATTTTATAAAATGAAGAACATCTTGTGTAATATATCCTTGTCATTGAGAGTTAGAAAAAGAATTCTTGCTTGCTACATACATCCAGTTTTAACATATGGCTGTGAATCCTGGACTATCGGTAGGCAGGCCAAACAATTTTTTGAGGTATAAGAGATGTGGTTTTACAAAAGACTGCTTAGAATTAGGGCTGTACCGAATAGTGATTTTCACTATTCGGCCAAATACGAATAGCTGGACCAACTATTCGGCCGAATACGAATACGAATACGAATAGTGAATCATCATCATCATGTGCTTTGCCGGCTGGCATGGGCGATTATGCCTCGCCACAATCTGCGATCTCCTGCAGCACGTATTAGTTCGTGTGCTGACACACCTCCATGAAAAACCTTCGTTCCATGTTGTCAGCATTAGGCCAGCTTTTTGTCTCACTGAAGGTATTTCCAGCTGTCCTAAACAGGAAAATACGACAAATACAGAGAGTCAAAATGAAAACCCGCAAGGCGAAACATCAAAAACAAAATTAACGCCGACGAAGAAAACAATGCCGTCCTAACAAGTCGCCCAGCCCCCCGCGAGCTCACGAAACCAGACGCCCGGTGGCCAACGCCAGAAGATCAAACAACTAAAACAATCAAGAAACCGAACGTCGATCAAAACATTCAGCCGCTGCCGTTTCCACGAGACGACGAAAGAACAGATACGACACCCATAAATGATGACGAACTCCCGTTACTTCAAAGAATCAACGAAGAGGACACTCCACTCAAAGAAATCAAGCCGACAACACTAGAACACTTGCTTTTCTGCCCCTCTTACATTTTTAAGTGTTGCATTTTGTTTCTACAGCAACACACCTAAAAACACTATACTCGCAACACATGCAAGATGGAAATAGAAGGGGCACTTGGTACGCTCGTAGGTGGTGCACAAAGATAACGCTTCACAGTATAAACCAAGGTGGGAAGTCTTGATGTTTTTTTTTCCCACCAGTCCAGAAACGGTTGTGAGGTAACCACTATTCGTATTCAGCCCGACCGCAACTATTCGGGCGAATACCGAATAGTTATTGGGTCCACTATTCGGCCCCGAAGCGAATACGAAGCGAATATTCGGTATAGCCCTACTTAGAATACCTTGGACAGCCCAAAATAACAACCAAGAGGTTTTGAAAGAGGCGGGAGCCCGAAGACAACTTATCACAGACATCAGAAGGAGACAGTCATCATTTTTCGGCCATGTTATGAGAAGAGGGAAAATAGAACATGTTGTGACCACTGGAAAGATCTGTACAAGGAGGGATAAAGGAAGACAACGAGAGAAGATTCTTGACAGTCTTGTTGCATGGCCTGGAGGTGTACCGGCACACGAACTGATACAAGCTGCAGGAGATCGTGGATTATTGAAAGGCATGATCGCCCACGCTAGTCGGCAAGGCACCTGATGATGATGATGATGTTGTATATACGTAGCTGTACATGTATATCTTTATATGCGTGTGTGGGTGCGTAAAGTGCATACCAGCCCCATCCACAACCACCTCTTCAGGTACTAGAGTACCGCTCCAAGCCACTTGTTTTGGTGCAATTAACATTTCTTGGCCAGCATAATAAGCACAAAGAAAACAGACCAGACTCATAACCGACACTGTTCGCTGTAGGTTAAACGTGGTCCATTTTTTGTTGTTTTGTTTTTCATGAATAGATGGATTTACTTCCAGTGAAATGCATGTTATGTTATATTTTCTTCTTCTTTTTTTCTTCTTCATCTTCTTCGCGTTCACTAGCTGTAAACACTGGTGGAAAGTTCTGGTTGTTCATCCACTTCTGGACTGCAGTCCTATTCCAGAACCTGAATGTTGCGTTGCATCCGTTTTACAGATCTGACTCATTTGTATGTACACTGCTGATTCCTTGTCTTTCAGGAAGATGCCCTACGACTTTGAAGGTAGCTCCCAATCAGTCGACTCTTACGACATGCTTTTGGGAGACAGTGGGTGTATTCTTGTTTTCCCTATAACAGGGCCACGGAGCCCACACGGGGAGTGTGGGTTTTCTTGTTGTGATAGATCTACAAGATAAATATTAAATATTTATAAACGCATCCACGGCTTGTTTCTGGCGGTACACGTTACCGTCCTCCTTTAAAAAAAGACATCCTCTCTGTTGTAACTGACACACTGTAGTGAGTACGGGCACCTTTTACAGACACCTTGTTGGTGAGTATTAGAACCTATTTTTTTAAGGAAAAAAGCCATGAATGCATTTATAGTGTTTTTAAGGATTTCGTCAAGTCTCTGTTGTGGTTCTGCTCTATGAGGCTTATTTCTGAATTCAGTTGGAGGGGGGTGGTATTGCTAAAGGCACTGTCCCTTAATATATTTATGTCAGTTCCAAAGTCCATCGTAACTGTTATTACAAACCTCTCAGTCAGGACAACATCCCCGCGATGCTCTCTTTATTTAAATACACTGACGCTAGTGACATCTTACCGGAGAAATCTGCGTCTGCCGTTTCAGCACTTCCGGTTTCCTGAAGCCGATTAGTTCGGGTTGAATTCGCCTACCTCCAGTACCAAGTTGTCGTCTTTAGTGTTGTCTAACGATATGACCAGCTGTCAGAAAAGCATCCCCCCTCCTCCTTGACATACTTTTTACTTTTTTTACAAGGTCATACTCGTTGCGGCAATTGCACACGATCTCTTATCCTTTTCGCCGCTCACTAAACTTCGGGATCTAGCAATTTACTTACCACTAAATGTTTCATAGTTTTAACTGCTGCTTACTTGTTATTGTTATAATAGTTAGTAAGTTATACTACTTTCATTGTTTCTGTTAAATATTCCGCTTCCATTTATTACTTTATCTGCATGCTAACCAGATTTTCTTATAATAAACTATACCCCTAAAATATAAAAATTGTTACTTCTTTGTAGATTGTTTCTCTATCGGATAGAAATCTTGGCATTCTTCGAACAGCCACCCTAGAGGGACGCAATCTATTGTTTATTTATGGCGACCATAAGGGAAACAATCCATCGTTTATGTACGTTTGAATAATGATGTTCTACAATATTTAATATTGCTTGAGGTTATGGATAGCTGTAACTCTACCCTAATACTAAACCCAGCCCTAATGTCAAACAATATGAAATATGAAAGAATGTTATTATGATGTGAACTTACACAACAGACAGACTGTATTACCTCCCCTAGAGATGGTATTTAAAGTGATGTCAAGTTACAATAGATTGCATTCCCTAGGGTCACCATTCCAAAGAGTGCCAACATTTTTTTTTTTCAGCCTTATGATTTCTTCTTATAAATGAGACTAAAAGAGAACTAATGTGCTTTGTTTGTTGTTCAACCCCACCAGGACTGTACAACGAGCGACCAACAGCCAGTGACACAAAGTGCCAACATTTGGATGAGGATCACCTGGCACAAGTCCCAGAAACCCAGTTAAACTGTTACGGTATATTAGGACCCCCGACTACAGTGGGGATGGGCCACCAGTTTGCACAGTCGTGGCAACAGCTTAAAGACCTCCCTGCCTACAACACATAAGTGATATAATAAAAGCACTCACCAGTTTCACTGCGTACATTTTTTCATACAGATATATTTTTTACAAACTGCAGATTACTTGTATGTTTTATATTATACCATAATTTTACAAAAACCTTTCTTAACATAGACATTTCACTTCATGAAGTTATTTATTCCTGTGTGTGTGTGTGAATGTTTTTTTTTTTTTTGGCAGGTGACATCTTTATCTCTGGAAAACAACAGTGATGAACTGATATTGATGGATGGTGGACTGACTGAAAGCAGATCTGTAGAAATAGTTCATCTGTCTGGTTATTCAACAGTTCCAAAGTATTACTACAGCTCTGATAATAAGATGCTTTTGAAGTTCATATCAGATGCCAGTGTCACTGGAACTGGATTCACTGCCTCTTATAGCCAAGGTAAACAGTTCACTACAATAATATTTGTATTTGTCTCATAATTGATTCATGTCGTGGTTTAGATAAAACTTGGAGATAAACACATAATATTTGTCTCAAATTGATGCATGTCATGGTGGAGATAAAACATGGAGCTAAACACATAATATTTGTCTCTAATTGATGCATGTCATGGTGGAGATAAAAACATAATATTTATCTCATAATTGATGTATGTCATGGTGGAGATAAAACATGAAGCTAAACACATAATATTTGTCTTATAATTGATGCATGTCATAGTGAAGATAAAACATGGAGCTAAACACATAATATTTGTCTCATAATTGATGCATGTCATGGTGGAGATAAAACATGGAGCTAAACACATAATATTTGTCTCATAATTGATGCATGTCATGGTGAAGATAAAACTTGGAGATAAACACATAATATTTGTCTCATTATTGATGCATGTCATGGTGAAGATAAAACTTGGAGATAAACACATAATATTTGTCTCTAATTGATGCATGTCATGGTGGAGATAAAAACATAATATTTGTCTTATAATTGATGCATGTCATGGTGGAGATAATACATGGAGCTAAACACATAATATTTGTCTCATAATTAATGCATGTCATGGTGGAGATAAAACATGGAGCTAAACACATAATATTTGTCTCAAAATTGATGCATGTCATAAAGGAGATAAACAATCATATTTGTCTCCTAATTGATGCCTGTCATGGTGGAGATAAATACATAATATTTGTCTCATAATTGATGCATGTCATGGTGGAGATAAACACATAATATTTGTCTCATAATTGATGCATGTCATGGTGGAGATAAACACATATTTGTCTCATAATTGATGCCTGTCATGGTGGAGATAAATACATAATATTTGTCTCATAATTGATGCATGTCATGGTGGAGATAAACACATATTTGTCTCATAATTGATGCATGTGATGGTGGAGATAAAACATGGAGATAAACACATAATATTTGTCTCTAATTGATGCATGTCATGGTGGAGATAAAACATGGAGCTAAACACATAATATTTGTCTCATAATTGATGCATGTCATGGTGGAGACAAAACATGGAGATAAACACATCATTTTTGTCTCATAATTGATGCATGTCATGGTGGAGATAAAACATAGAGCTAAACACATAATATTTGTCTCATAATTGATGCATGTCATGGTGGAGATAAAACATGGAAATAAACACATAATATTTGACTCATATTTGATGCATGACATGGTGGAGATAAAACTTGGAGCTAAACACATAATATTTGACTCATAATTGATGCATGTCATGGTGGAGACAAAACATGGAGATAAACACATAATATTTGTCTCATAATTGATGCATGTCATGGTGAAGATAAAACATGGAGCTAAACACATAATATTTGTCTCATAATTGATGCATGTCATGGTGGAGATAAAACATAGAGATAAACACATAATATTTGTCTCTAATTGATGCATGTCATGGTGGAGATAGGTACATAATATAATAATAATATATAGTAATAAGAAAACTCCACAGGGGAGCATACACAGCATAAATCTACCCGTCATCAGTAAAAGATCCTCCATCGACAATTGTTTCGGCTCGTTACCATCCTAAACAGTCTTAGAAGGTAAGCCAACCTGGGTCATGACAGCAGGCCCCAGTATCTCCTGCTGAGTTCTATCCGACACGTATGGACGAGACAAAAGTGAATAAACAGGTACTGTAGGGAGATTGGTTCTTTTGTTGGTGATGTATTGTGGCCGCGGTAGCAAATTGGCCGCCTACCTTCATGGTCGAGGGACAAGTGAGATCTGTCACACACCACGCCGCTCAACTTAGAATGCGTATACCGTGGTTCAAGCAGGCTGTTGACTATTGTCAGATATGTGTTAGTGTTAGTTAGACTTACCAGTTGGCAGAGAGACACTGACAGACACTTGGGACTTGAAGGGATGTTAAGTTCTTTCCTACTAAGGGCCCAGGCCAGCCTACAGAGGCCTGTCCCCCATAACGTTTTGTTGTGTCCAGAGCCAGCTCAAAGCTCTCTCATCAGTTTTGCCCAGCAGTTTTAGGGCCCTTTTACGCTGATTTCCCAGCTAACCAGCTAAACCCAGCTGCTTTAGCACATAATAAGTGGATGTGGAGACAAGACCTCTTACACCTACCTCGACGGTGAAGATTTTTACCGCGTACACTTCGTCTCACCTCAGACCTGCTGCAAGATCACAGTACTTCTCAAGCTTGTACATGTGATTTTTGTCCATTCATGACTTATCCGGCACGGGCAGCTCAATCAGGATGAGCTAACGTTGAATGCATACAGAATGAAGCCATGCAGGTAATTCTAGGATGTAAAAGTGATACCCCGGTAATATGTATGAGATATATACTTGCACTGCCTACTATTGTTGATAGGCTTGAACACAGCTCTCTCAGTTGAAGAAACAAAAGAGAGCTCCAACAGCCAGCAACTCCCTTTTTGAAGACAAATTTAACATAAAAGAATTAGAACAAGCCCTAAAGAAATTAAAACCTAGAATATCCCCAGGTTAAGATAATATCCACATCAAAATGCTGCTACATCTTGGCCAGTCTGGGAGAGAAGTAGTTCTCAGGCTTATTAATAAGACATGGAGATCAAGCAAACTTCCAAAGGCATGGAGGAATGCATATATTGTCCCCATACTTAAAACCAAAAAACCTTCAGACGACCCCAAAAGCTACCACCTATCCTTAACATCATGCTTGGACAAAGTTGCTGAAAGAATGATAAACAGTTGCTTGTATTGGTTCTTAGAGAGGTCTGGTGTTCTATGCCATGAACAGGCAGGTTTCAGAACTAACAGCTGTACAGAAGACCAGTTGTTTAGGTTGATGCAAAGAATACATGATTTTTTCCAGAATAAGAAGTATACAGTGGCCATCTTTGTAGACCTGGAGAAAAGGTCTCCTGATGAAGATGATGAGATAGGAATAAATTGCAGACTGTATAATTGGTGAAATACTTTCTGATGGATAAAACAATTCAGATTAAGATACACATTGTAATCTCATCTAAAGAAGTCTTGGAGCAGGGCTTGCCACAAAGCTCATCACTTAGCTGTAAACTGTTTTTAATCTTTATCAATGACTTGCCAGAACAAATCAAGGCCGAAAAAGCCTTGTACGCTGATGATCTAGCAATATGGCAGAGTCATGAAAATGTAGAAAGCGGAGCCCAAAGACTAAATGGAGACCTTAGAAGACTGCATGAGTACTGCCAAAGATGGAAGCTAAAGGTTAATTATACAAAGACGGTCTAGACAATCTCTGCTAAAAGCCATCAAGTAGCAATATTAACTTGAGGTTAGACTGACACCAAGTGATGAAAGAAGAGCATCCTACATATCTTGGAGTCACACTTGACCGGCATCTCAGCCTCAAGAACCATACTGAAAACATAAGGAATAAGGCTATGAGGTGGTTACAGTTATTGAAGAGACTTGCAGATACAGCATGGGGATCAGACAAGGAAACACTGGGAAGACAAACCTGGTCAACAAATGCCCACAGAAGTTGGATGTGTTGGCTGAAAAGTGCAAATATTGCAGCCATGCTGTAAACAGACACAATGCAATTACATCTTTGGATAAACGCAGAAGAAGAAGAAGAAAAAGACAAGGAAACTCTGAGGGGCTTCTATCTTGGATATGTTCGCTCTGTGATAGAGTATAACAACTCACTGCTTACAACCTGCTCCAAAACTAAACTAGAGACTCTTGACAGAGTACAAAATAATGCCCTCCGATTGATTTGCAGAACTATGCGGTCTACTCCAACTGCTGCATGTGAAATCCATACAAATGTGGAACCCCTCTGGTTGTGGAGAGAAAAAGCCACTTTGGAAATTTATGAAAGATGGGTTAGAATGAATTGTAACCATCCTAATAGACACCTTGTAGAAAACTCGGAATAAAAATCGGTTTTACTCTGTGTACATGAAGTACAGGACAGATACCACCTCCCAGAAAGACATCAAGGCATTAAAAAAAATGCAAGAAACCTACCACCATATGCTCACTTCAAAGCTCCAGAAGTCCGAATGAAATTAGTAGACTAAGAAACAAAACAGTCAGACCCAATCGCCCTTATGAACTCATCACTAAAGACCATTGATTCTTACCCTGAAGAATGGATACATGTTTATACTGATGGATCTGCATTTAAAGCTACCATTAAGCAGGTTTATGAATGTACATAGTTATCCTGATGTATCTTTTGAAGAGATTTTTGATGCATGCGGGGAATTCTACTCAAATTATGAAGCCAAAATAATTGCACTGGAAACAGCAGTATACCACTTAAAGACTAATATCCATTACAAAGGCCAAAAATATTGTCATCTTCACTGATTCAATATCTGCCCTTCAAGCTCTGGAGGGCAGCGAACTATGACATAGCCAAGATACTTCTGGAAGCTGATCAGCTCATTACCTCATACAAAATCAGAATAGTGATGCAGTCGATTCCAGGCCACTCCGGCACACCAGGTAATGACAGAACTGACAGACTGGCTAAGAAAGGAGCAACACAAGAACAACCACCCACAGCGACAACCCTACAGACAGCAAATACACTTATAAGAGCTATAAATAAAGAAACTTGGTTGAACAGATGGGCCATGGGAGACATTTGAAGAGAGGTTTATACACAAATGGCTGGCCCTGATCCTAATGACAGCATTGGCCATTTAACAAGATGGGACCAGGCCACCATCTTCAGACTCAGAACACAACATACTTCACTCAGTGGACATCTAAACAGAATACAGCCGCAACACTCTCCAGAGTGCCAGCTATGTAACTACCCCCACAAAACTGTAGTACACCATCTCTTGAGTGTCCAAAACTCAGCAAAACTAGAAGAACGCTACTCCCTCCGAGACCAGACAAGTAGAACACCTTGCATGGAGGAAAAGAACAGCTTGTGAAAACATGCAAATTCCACTACATGGCATTGGGCCAGAGGGCGAAAGCTCCTGCGCCGCTGGATTGATAACAACAACAACATCAACAACAGCAAGCTGATTGGCTCAATGTTCTGCAAGCAAAGTCAAATCTCATAGTAGCTGCAGGGTCACAGACTGAAAAGAGGATGGTCTTGGATCGCGCAAGCTGAAGACACAATCAGACATGTGTGCAGGCTCGATAAATTTAGGCGAGTAGAGGAGTGGTTCAGAGTATCCCAGCAAGTTTCAGGCTTGTGTAGGGTTCTTATCACTTTGAGTCGTGAGTGCAGGGACTGACCAGCTGGTGCTGCAGAATCAGAAGTTCAACAAATAATTCATGACAATTCCCGCCCAGGTGATGTGATTATTGATACAGATGGCTCTGTGTTGAGGGACAGGCAGAGTGCATGGGGTTCATAGCAAAAGTGAATGGATGTCGCTTGGTGCAGCAAAGCCTTGCATATGATATCACAAAGGATCTGATCGGCGCTGAACACTCAGGGGAAGGTGAGACAGTTTTTAGTGCCATCGGAATTGGAACTCTTTGCTTGCTGCTGAAGATGGGGGGACGGAGCGCTTATCGAGGTGTCCTGAGTGCTGTGATGTCAATATTTAATTCAACAATCAACATTTTTAGACAGGACATTTGTCAGCAACTGAAACTGGTAACATGACGACCATCCATTAAATATGTATGAGAGTAAATCATTATATAAAAAGACGTTGACCAGTTGTACATTGTTTACGTATTTCAGCACAAAAGAGGATAGCCAAAATATTAAATGTAACCTATCTTTATTAGTTCAGCCATAAACAATATCCATGGTTTATTTTCAACAGTGAATCAAGGCAACTCATTACAGAACTTGACTGCCACAAATACCTGGCAAGAGTTAGAATTTCCATATTATAACAGTTTTTTGTTGGGGAGTCAGGATCTTTCTTATGTGATAGAAGCTGAAGATCAAACAAAAACCATTACATTCCAAGTAAGTATCTTTGTCTTTCATTAATTTAAATGTCATAGCTTCCTCTCACATACATGATGCCATTGATATAAATTAAACATAAATGTTCTTGCTTTCCAAAACATTACAAAGGCAAACAACCATGTGAAATACAGCACAACTGAATGCTTTAGTCTGCTGTCTGCGATGAGCTTCTTTTCTGCTTTGACTTATAATTTTATAATTCTTCTTTTGTTCACTTAAAATAGATTATTTATATCTGCAATGTTATCTCTTGGAGGACGTGATCTGTTGTCTCAGGTGCTAATCCACATGTATACATGGCTGATTTGCCAATCCTAAATTGTGTGTACACGTGGCTGCGAAGTTGACAGTGTCCTGTTCTAAGGCGTAGAATAATGACTTTCTCTGGTCTGTTCATTATATGGTAATCATGTTTTGCCGGTTTTGGTGGCTTTCTGAATCATTTGATTATTCTCTTCTTTTATTGATAAGAGACTGTTACGTCAGGCTGTTCTTCATTTGCAATTTTCTTAGCTAGTTTTTCAACTTTTTCATTTCTGGAAACTCCACAGATGGATGGTATCTGTGGCATAGTTACCTTACACCGGTTGCCTAGTTCAGATTGTAGTGTAGTTTTCATATACCAGGTAATTACATGCTTTATTATGAGATTATTGTTCATTTTAGTGCTTTAATCGAAAAACAGTTTTATAGAGATCCAACCTTTTGGGAATTCCAGGGACAGTTGGAAAAAAAAACACACACACACACACACACACAAAAAGTAAAGTCAGAAGATGTGAACCAGTGTCATTGCACACGGTTATAAACCATAAGTGCTCTGCCACTAGTACGGACAGCTGAAAAGAAACTGTCTGCCTGTGTCGCCATCTGCTACAGCGACGTTCCTTCATTTACCCCAAAGTGTTAACTCTGGTACCCTATAGAGGCTGGATGAACCCTGGGAACCGCCTGGTTTCGAACACCGGCCTTGGGCTGCAGCGAGTCGCAGCTGGATTTTAAAGCCAGTCTCCTGTGGACTGCACTAATGCAGTAAATTCCAAGGATTGTATATTGTGCCACTAATGTCTATGACTCATCCACATGACCCAATACCAGATCTTATTAGTTGGAGGAAATCAGAGAATGGGGTGATTGAACATGTTCCTCTTTTGATTTTTCAGTTGTAGATTTGCATGTAATAGGAAGGAAGAATAAGTTAAAACAGAAGATAAAACTGATAGAAAATTTGCCTCTCCATAAATCAGTTCGATCATTGTTTATTTATCAAACCTTTTGCTCTAAAAATGATCCCAGTTCAAGTTTATTAGAAGCGAAGTTTTCCATTTTTTTTTACCTCTTGTATTAATTATCAAGACTGATGCTGTACAAATGGAGTTCTAAAAATACACTGTACTGTTTTGATCAAAATTGTTTCTATCTCAGATATTGGTTTTTAGTTGATCTTGTTAACTCTTTAAGTCCCAGGGGGTTTAGCATCAGAAGCCCAAGGGGTAGTCAAAAGAGATGTAAAATCAGCGCATCGTGCATTCTTTGGGCCTCTAGGCGGGAACCTTTGAACGTATGATGCGTTCCTTGGGACTCAGAGAGTTAAAAGAGACAGAAGAGAACATCATGGACAGATAAAAAATAAAAATATGATGTCTTGAGTTAATTGTGTCGCACACAAAAACTCCTGATTACCTGCAGCAGAAGGAGGCATTCTTTGGGCCCATTATGAGAACGGAAAAACTGGATTGCACCATGACTGCAGGTATGTTGTAGGGGAAGAGACATAGAGGGAGTCCAAAAGAGGGAGAAGGTTATGTATATTCTGGCCTTTTTAAATTTTTGCTATGAATAAACCATAAATTATGATTAATGTAAATTTCTGTGCCTGATTAAGATGATGAGAGTTTATTTGAAAGATGTTCACAATTTGTTACAAAGAAATATTAGTTCTCAAAGTAGATGCATTCTCTGACTTGTTCAAAAAAATTTAACAACTGGATCACATAAGAATTATTGTTTATTGAATTAATTAATTTCTGGACTATAAATGATTGTTCATATATTTTAGTCTTTATAAGAACATTTCATACATACTGTTATATAGAAAAACAGTTTTCTCCAGACTGAGATCATAGTCTTGTAAGTCACTTGCACTGAAGCTTTGTCAAAGATGCTTAAACAGTGGTTGATGTTGAAGTGATTAAGTGTTCATTTAATGCCAGAGATACCCCAGAACATCTGAAATAGTTCTTTTGTGTAGACTTTCATTAGGTTCGCAATGACCAGCTTGCCCAAAGCCTTGGTTAGGGGAGTTGTATTATAGGACATAAATTTCACTGTTATAAAATCAAATTCCTCCAACAACTCCACTACTAAGTGGCTCGTAAGTGGCAACAGAGTGCAAGACAATCATGAAAAGACACTGAACATTTGAGCTTACACTGAGGGAAAGTTACTCTTTTTTGCCAGAGTTTCATCCTCTGAAGTACATAGTTTAAGGAATAGCTGTTTGAAATGGCTGTACCAAGGCTATTATAGGAAACCAAGACTTTTTTCCTCAAAAAATATATTCAGAAACTGAATTGTTCCAGAAGGGAGGTGTTCAAATACTGAGCTTTTATTGTATTTTATTGTAGCTAAATAAGCCAGAAATTCATGTAATTAATAGCAAGTCATGGGGTCCAGTCTTCCAGTTGTAGGCTTTATCCTAGGCATATGAACTATTTCTTCAAAAGTGCTTGATGCTTTTGTTCACAAGTTTTAAAAAATATCCTTGGCTATTTTTCTCTAATGACAGGTATTGGATATAGACTTACCTGTGGATGCTACAGCTGTGATTAGAGATGGAAATACAGTGTACAGCAAAATACTCACCCTACTGTCTGGCACATACAAGGGCAGTAGTATTTCTCTTTCATCAGGCAGATATTTACATGTTGCATTCCACACTGTGAGAGGCAGCCAGCGCAGAGGCCTCAAAGTACGTTACATGCAAGGTATGACATCATTTGCAAATCCCCTTTTATAAATATGTTTCAACTCAAAATTTGTTTGTATTGATTATGTTGTTTTTTCTTGTTAAAGTTCAGTTCAGATTATGTGGACAATAAATCAGTCTCACAAAAACTGACTTATTCCCCACATAATCTGTACTGAACAAGAAAAAAACAACATAATCAATACAAAAAAATTTTGTAAATAGATTTTTAAAATTACAAGCTTTATTTATGTAAAAATTTACTAGAACATATGTACAGAAAAACAGTGGTGCAATCATTATCATTGTCTATTAATTACCATTGTCTGTTGTCGGCGTCTGTGGCTTAGGCGCTGTAAACGTGCTTCATAATGCCGGGTTCGATCCCAGGTGCGGACATTCTGTCTTGCTGACCGTTCAGTAAGCAATGGCAAACTACTGAACATAAAATTTGCCTAGAAGAAAACCACAACAGCCAAAAAAAATGCTGGTGTCGGTTCTGCAACGTCCTGTAAAGGATACGTAACTAAAAAAAAAAAATTACCAGGATAATGCTTCAAACATTCACTATGTGCAGTCAGTGTGATATTTGTTTATGGATGCTAGTGATTAAATTACAGTGTACGTAACTAAATTAGCTGGTACTATTTTTTCTATATACATGGTCCAACAATTAAGTAATGAGACTAATTCTATAAAAATTAAAATAATAAAAAGTTGAAGATATAACCTGTTTCTGATTCAAAGTAAGCCCCTTGTGCATTGATACAGCAAGTCGCATAATCTAACAAACACTGTAGTTCTTCTGATTTTATGACCCCTAAAGTCGATGTTACGGCCCTTTGGATGTCATCAATATCCTTAAAGAAGCGTCCTTTCAATCCTTGAATATCCTTAAAGAAGCGTCCTTTCAATCCTAACTTTAATTTTGGTAATAGAAAATAATCACAGGGAGACAAATCTGGGGAAAAGGGTGGAAGGCTGAGAACACACACTTGTTTTTGGGCCAAAAATTCTTGTTTTGATGATGTCTCTTGGGTACTCAACCCACTGATGTTTTTGGTCATCAGACAACAAATGTGGTACAAACCGGCAAGCAAGTTTTTTCTTGCCCAAATCTTGCACTAAAATCTTATGAATGGTCTCTCTATTAACACCAGATTCATCTGCCATCATCCTCACAGTAAAACAATGATCTTCTTGTATCCGTTCTCTCACCTTTGCATTACAAACAAAAATTTAGCATCCAGGTCTAGTTTGCTTTAGCAATCATTTCCACACCATTTTTTAATCGTGAATACCAGCTGAAAATCTGTGGACAAGATAAACAATTATTCCCATAAACTGTCGCATCAATTCAACTGTTGCAATGGCACTTTTTCTGAGTTTTAAACATAATGTAATGTCAGTTTTTTTTTTGCTCCACGCTGATTACATAACAATGCACGTCTGACTAGGCTAGCAAAATGGCAGCTTGTTTGTTGTATGCTTATCGGGCTGCGATGAAAAGTGGCCACATCATAGACGAAGGTTGCCTCTTTGGATTCCATGCTGTGATTCATAGATGGCATTTTTGTCTTAGCCATAATAAAATCAGTCTCATTACTTAATTGTCGGACCTTGTATTGCCTGTACTACCTTTTCTCTGTAAATTACAGATGGTACTACCTTTTCTCTGTAAATTACAGATGGTACTACCTTTTCTCTGTAAATTACAGATGGTACTCTCTTTTCTCTGTAAATTACAGCTGCGACTACTTTTTCTCTTTAAATTACAGCCCGTACTACCTTTTCTCTATAAATTACAGCCAGTACTACCTTTTCTCTGTAAATTACAGATGGTACTCCCTTTTCTCTGTAAATTACAGATGGTACTCTCTTTTCTCTGTAAATTACAGCTGCGACTACTTTTTTTCTCTTTAAATTACAGCCCATACTACCTTTTCTCTGTAAATTACAGATAGTACTCCCTTTTCTCTGTAAATTACAGATGATACTCCTTTTTCTCTGTATTTTACAGATGGTACTCCCTTTTCTCTGTAGATTACAACCGGTACTACCTTTTCTCTGTAAATTACAGCCGGTACTACCTTTTCTCTGTAAACTACAGCCGCTACTACCTTTTCTCTGTAAATTACTGCTGGTACTACCTTTTCTCTGTAAATTACAGATAGTACTCCCTTTTCTCTGTAAATTACAGATGGTACTCCCTTTTCTCTGTAAAATACAGCCGGTACTACCTTTTCTCTGTAAACTACAGAAGGTACTACCTTTTCTCTGTAAATTACAGCCGGTAATACCTTTTCTCCATAAATTACAGCCGGTACTACCTTTTCTCTGTAAATTACATCAGGTACTACTTTTTCTCTATAAATTACAGCTGGTATTCCTTTCCTCTGTAAATTACAGTTGGTACTACCTTTTCTCTGCTAATGCTGAATATTGGGCGGAGTATACAAAATCTGATATTCCTTATTGTACCAATGGCCTCGGATGGAAGAGCTTATTAGGAAGTATACTAGCGTTATCCTAAGAAGGGAAATGCAATCTGAAAATGTAAGTTATGGCAGAGAAGACCCCCTTAGTCTTCGCTGGCAGTTGGTCTAGGAGGAAAGCTCTGACAGATGGACAGATTGCTGTCATTCAGCAGTTTTTGCTAAAGGCTTTATTCCCAATGTGTTGCCCTTCCTTTGGAGTAAACAAGGTAGGTCAAGAGAAGAATCATTGTGCATGGGCAATAAATAGTCTTTACAATACTGCCTAAGCTTTGTACTATGGAGAATATCAGGAATGAAATAGAGATAAAGGAGAAAATGGATGCAAAGGTTGCAAGCTGAAGAAGCTCATTAAATACATAGTATGGCAACAGTGGTCCAGAAAACTCATGCTCTAATTGTGAAAGGCTTTTCTTATCATGAGCAAATCTTGGTAGTCACATATGTTAGTGCTAAGGGCTATGATTCCCATGCCCCCCCCCCCCCCCCATTAGCACACTTTAACACTGTCAACTGTAAATGTGGAAAGATGTCAACAACTATGACAGAACTAAGGGCAAACTGTCACATCTCCCCTGTAGACACATACAACTATGAGTCATGGACTATCTTGCAATCATTAATGAAGAAAATCGGATCGCATAAACTGAAATGATTACACCCCCCCCCCCCCCCCCCAAAAAAAAAAAAAACAATTCTGGTGCTTAGGATAGGCTTTTAATGCAGTTAAATTTTTGCATTGCTGTTGACTTTCTTCTTTTGACTTCTTTTAAACAGCCTCTATTGTTCTTTATTATGGAGCCAAAATTTAAAGTTTGTGACTTCTTCAATTTCTTCATCCTTGATTGTTATTTTTGGGTAATATTAAGTTTTGTTCTATTTGTAAAGGTTGTCAAGCTAGTTTGGATAGGTCTACTGGATACATCAGCTCACCAGGTTACCCCGTGTCTTTCTATCCAAATGGTATAACATGCAGATGGGAAGTCAGTGTGCCTGGGGCCAAAAATGTGACGCTTTTAATCAGTAGAATGGATCTTCATATATCAGACAGAATACAGGTGAGATATCAGTCATTTCAATAAGAACATACCATAATATAAGGAAGAAAATGCTACATCTTTTAATTATTTTCAACAGTTTTTTCATAAACTGACAGATTTATCAGAAAATAAGCCTGCTAGAACTAAAATAGAAGATAAAGATGTATTAGTAATATGTAATTAGTGATTTAGAGAACTATATAAAGGTAGGACTAAGAACTCTTGTAATAAATGGGAAAGGGAAGAGAAGAAGGCAGCTTTGTTACAGGCATTTTATTGCAGAGTATCCATGTTAGTTACTAATAGTAGTAGGAAAAAACTCACACTGAAATATACCAATTGAACTAATAAAGCCAGGAGGAGAAGCCAGTATCTGTTTAAGATATATATCATAAACGAGAAACATCTGTATTCCTCTTTAAAAAAAAGTGTTAATTGTGTTTTAACTATATCACTTGCACACCAGTAAGTTTTGGCAGCTAAATTATTGTATAGCTAACATCTTTTTTCTTTTTTTTTTTAAAGTGAAAGAAAAACAAGTTAGAATATGAAATACAAGAAGTACAGATGTTTCAGACAGGACACATGTATCAGGGACCCTGTCTTCAACAGATGAGCCATCTTTGAAAAATACAGAGTATTATTGTAGTTTTGTATTGTAGATCTAAACTGAAAGTTCATAATTTGAAAACATAACTCCTGGAAGAATAGGCACAGATAATTCCACTGTTGAACAGGACATAGACACCTTGGTCATGAACATATATGAGGAAGGGAACTGTAGGAAAAGTCCAATCTTTCCTGATGACTGTTGTGACTTGTGAGAGTAATATTCTGCCACATGACATTAATGAAAAATACTCAGCATCTTGGCAAAACCTTCTTATTGTTGTTCCTGCCATATTGCATTAGCAGTCATATCAGTCCACAGCCTTACCTCTCATCTACTCTCAAGAATTTTTAGTTTGGGTATTCTTCGGAGCCATGGTGCCATACTGTCTGATCAGACATCTTCTCTCCTGGTCTTCCAGGTCTTTCTTCCCTCTCCAGCTTTCTCATTATATTAAAAGCACTTCAGTTTCTATGTGTGGTGATGTTTTATGAAGATTTTGGATTGTTCACTTCTGATGTGGTCTCTTTGTGAATTACTTTCTTTCAAGATATTTTGATTTGTGTTTTTTTTTTTTTTTAAAATCTGGCTATAGTGTTCTCATCATCCCCCTGTAAAACCATATCTCTGTAACTCTCACACAATTTCTCATTCTTCTTTTTCTTCTTGTTTCTTTACCTTCACTGGCTGCAAATTGGCAGAAGGTTCTGGTTGTTCCTGCACTTCTGGAAAAGTTAGAAAAATCAGTTAGAATATTTACAAGAAGTACTGGTAGGTTTCAGACAGGACACATGTATCAGGGACCATATCTTCAACAGATGAGCCATCTTTGAAAAATACAGAGTATTTTGTAGATTTTGTTCCAGAACTTGAGTTTTGCACGCACATCTGTATCACAGATCTGGCTTATTTGTATTCAGACTGTTGGTTTCTTGCCTGTCAGGCAGGTCTATTTCAACTGTGAAAGTTCTGATTAGTCACTTTTTAAGACATGCTTGTGAAGGCGGCAGTAGGTTTACGCTTCCCCCAACAGTGGGACCCCAGAACCCACACAGGGAGTCTCTCACTTATCTGTTGATTTTATGATTCAGTTTTATACATTAAGATTGGAAAGAACACTGGTAGTGTCAGCAAAGGGTTTCAAGTTACTGCTGGTATGTGAGACAAGAATGTGATCTATCCTCAGAATGGGTTCTTGTATTTCTTGTATTTATAGATTTAAAAAAAAGTATGTGAGACAAATTCAAAAACATCCACATAAAAAAATGTTTTTTTTTTTTCTAATGACCAAAGTGTTATTCGTTTACTTAAAAGGACCCTTCTGCAAAAAATAAATGCTGTACATAGTAGATTTTAGATGATGATGATGATGATCATCAAGTTCCTTGCCAGCTGGCATAGGTGTTCATACCTCTCCACAGATCTCAGTCTTTGGTGTCCTGATCACTTCCATTGATGATATTTCTCCATGCCACTGTCTTAAGCCATCCACATCATTTCTCTTGTACTGCCTCTTCTACCAGTGATTTTCCAGTCATCACAATATTTTCCAGTCTCCTTTTCTCATCACATAACCAAAGAATTTTGCCTCCTTCTCACTGTTGTATATAATGCTCTACTTTCATTAGCAATTTTTAGGCAATCATGGTTAATTATTTTGTAGATGATAAAGCATGAAAATAAACATTCTACATAGTTCAACTGCTTTCTATAGACATACATAATACAAACAGTCTATATAGTTATTACAATCCAGATAAAACTATGGCAGACTGAAGGAGTGCAGGATAGCCATTACTTTTAAAAATGTTAATTCTGGGAATATATATGATAAACAGAAGGAATACATGAAGATGGTGATGTCAGCAACATAATCACTTTACATGTGAGCTGGTAGCTCTTAACTACCCACTGTTTTTGTTTTGTTTTGTTGATGGTGCTGGTTTTGTCAAATAAAGAACTTTATAGAAAAGCCAATTCTTACATATGTAAAATATGAGAAGAATTGTAGTGGTTTGATTATAATGTATTTTTATACAGTTTACAAATAGTTTAGCATTTATTGCAATATGTTTGTACATTTATTCTGTGCTTATACGTATGTGCTATTAATACACACTTCTATCACAGATTGTGATGGGAAATTATCTCATTGGTAACTACAGTGGGAACAGTTGGCTGACACCCTTGAGAATTTCTGGAGGACAGTTCTCTGTTATCTTCATCTCAAGTGCCAGTCTCAACGGTCAAGGGTTTAATTTGACATATTCAGTGGGTATGTACACATATTCCGACTGTTACACTGTGTCGTTATTGCTAGTTTCAGGATTTCTAGTCCTCCCTAAACAGTCGTACGTACAAGAAGATAGTCTTCCTTTAAAAAAAAATTAAAACTAAATTGACCATTATTGTCATGAAATTCTACATTTAACTGATAATATCTAGTAGAAGCAAGCATATTTTCAACCTATATGAGAGTATAAATGATATGAGAGTATAAGTGAGAGTATAAATAAATGAGAGTATGAATGATATGAGAGTATAAGTGAGAGTATAAATGTGTTACAGACTGAGTATAAATAAGTGAGAGTATAAATTAAATGAGAGTATAAGTGAGAGTATAAATGTGTTACAGACTGCTTCAGCCTGTATAGATTGTTTTTAAGAATCAGCTGAAGTATAGAATAGGACTAGGCTAAACAGGTATCATTAATGACACAGGATAAGTAATCAGAATTAAAATAAACAGTTCGTGAGAAACTGTATTTGAGTAAACTTCAAATTTACTTATTAAAAACACCACACACAAAAACAAGTGAAACAGTTTCTTGGACGTTTTAAGAAAGGTGATTGAAATTTAAAAAGATTTTAAAATTAAGTAAAGAAATATCAGAAGACAAATATTTCTGCTTCTCAAGCTGTAAATATTATTTGATTACTCAAGCTATGTTTACATGTTTAATTATTCGCTTATATATTTGAACAAACTTTTTGTGTCTTCAATTGAATAGCAAAAAAAAATTCTACCCAGTTCTTGATTATATTGCCTCTAGACTGCCCTCAACCTGCCATTGACCTGAGTTTGTCAGATGTTGTTGGAACATTGACCACATCTTATGGCAGTGAATTTACTGTCACTTGTAAACAAGGAAGTCGGTTCTTTCAGACAGAACACATAGGCAAAACTAATGTCACAATGATATGCATGGCCTTCGGGCAGTGGAATGTCAATACATCACCAAAGTGTGCACGTAAGTATTTGTTACAGAAATAACATGCACTGTTTTTTTGTTTGTTAGTTTTGTTACTGATCAACAGGTTGCAGAAATCTGTAAATAGTTGCAGATGTTTTAACTTCAAGACTAATTAAGTATTTAAGTGTGATTTTTGTTGTTGTTGTTGCTATCTCCAGGAAACCTCAACAAATAAAAGACTGTTTTCAACATGTTAAGATGTATTGAGTATATGTTGCTAGTCATAAAAATATATAAACCAATTTGGCACTCAGTGGGTGATCTGATCCATATCATAATGGCAGCTTTACTCTAGGACATTTGATACCCATTTTAAACTGTATCAACCCTGAAGCCATAGGTAAGTTTTTGGAAATGTGGCCACTTAATAGCAAGGCCTCAGGCAAGCATACTAGTGGCATGCTACCATGATACGATCGTCTCCATATTAGAGGTATAATTATATGTATACATCTTTTCAGATAAAGTGTGAGTGAGGCAAGTGGTTACCCTGTCCTCCTCCTTTTTTTTTTTTTAAAACTTGGCCCTAGAGAAACTTGTAAGAAAGGTAAAAGAAGATTGTATTATAGGAAAAACCACAAGAACAGTTGCTTATGTAGATGACTTATATATATAATAAGATGAAATGACAATGAAAACACTGACATACTTAATGGAAGCAGTTCAGAAATAGGGAACTACTTATGAGCCAAAATAACACAGAATACAGAGTAATGACAAGAGTGAGAATGAAAAAAACTCTGGCCACATTCAGGTAATAAGTAAAATGATTCATAGACTCATTCATAATCTTGCCATTCTTAGCTCTGCTTGAGTCAGTATTCAAGAATTATGTAACAACATCTCACTATTCTTTATGAAGGTATGAAATAATCATGAAGCTAATCTAATTATATATATAAGCCAAGATTAATTACTGAATCAAAAAAGAGAGAAACATTTGTAATGACTTTATGACTTTGATGTTTCATCTGTTGTTTCCTTCATTTAAATAAACAAAATCTTTGCCAGGTATTCAGTGTGAAAAAGTTCCTAATGTACAGAATGGATATATTGCAAGTTCTTCAGGGAATCTTCCTTACAATGGAACACTGACTTATAAATGCTATCAAGGTTATATGTTAGTGGGATTAGACACTGTCATGTGTGATGCAAATGGACATTGGATAAATCTCCCTTCCTGCCAAGGTAAATATTATATATTTTATAATTACTTCAGTCTGATAATGGCTTGACTAATGCCACTCATTCCCCCTTCCTGAAATTAATTATTTTTGCTCAGCATATCGTTTTTGTCACAGTACATAAAAGCTGGTTAAAATGCACACTGTTTTATATAAGGGGAAGTCAATAGGTAAGTCACAAATGGTTGTTAAAAAAAAAACCCAACTAAAGACGATAACTTGAAAACCGTTTATTTTGACACATACACTATCCCTTTATTTTTCAACATAATTTCCACCAACACTGATGCATTTGTCCCATCAATTTATGAGTCCTCCCAAACCTGCTACATAGAACTGCGTGCTCTGTTTTCAAAACCACATTTTTGCTTAACATTCAACTTCTGCATCATTCACGAAATGTCTTCCTCTAGTCAGCAGGCCTGACTTTTTTTTTTTCGAACTGCACCATGAAGCATCGATAGAATTTTACAGTAAGAATCAGCATTCACACTGTCACCTCTTTTTTTTTAAACTGGTTAATAGCAGTCTTTGAAAATCCCAGAACACTGTCAGCATAACCTTCCCTGCTGATGTTTCCACTGCATTGAAGCGTGCTTTGATTCAGGCTGGTAGTGATGCACCCATGATTCGTTGTCAGTAATAATCTTGCTTAACATGTCTTCTCTGTCATCTGGATATCGACAGAGATGCTGCAAGGACAGGCCTAATCGGTTCATTTTGTGTTTTTCCGTTAGTTGTCTGGGTACCCACCTTAAGCACACTTTCTTAAATTTCAATCCATCAAGCACAAAACTATATAAATCCAACTGACATGCGAATAGTTTCTTTCGACACATTGCGTGTTTAGGCTGCCGGAAGCTCATCTAGTCATGTGACTGCCATGGTAACTTCAAATTACTATAAATTCCGTCTGCTTACAAAGGATGGGGTTGTTGATTTTAATTATTAAAACTTTGGCCATTCTCAACAGTTGCCTGTTCCAAGTGTGATAAACCACACGGAAAGCACTGTCTGTTTCCATTATGTGTCCAGAATTAAGTAGATGATGTCCTAAATACACGATGTGTAGAAAGAAACTATTCGCATTTCAGTTGGATTTATTCAGTTTTGTGCTTCATTTTATGTTGATGTAACTCTGTAGTAATGCACCTGACGAGATACAGCGAAATACATCTGGCAATAAATTTGGCACTGTATAGTTTGTGTCGCATTATTTGTATGTTTTTCTTTGTTAAATACATGCCACTCATATGTAAGTCCCAAGCCAAGTTGTTGCTAGCATATTTTGAAATTGTACTTCATTTCTGTATTTCTCAGCAACTTCCTGTGGTACCGCACCACCAGCAGACCCAAATGGGAATATGCTGGTCGCTGCAGGAAACGGATTATCATATGGCACAGTGTTAAGATACTCCTGCAACCAAGGTTATGATTTAATTGGTGATCCAACTATGTTTTGTGATTCAAATGGTAGCTATGTGGGCAGAGCAGGAACTTGCAGAAGTAAGTGCAGGAGATGTTGGTAGTGATTGATGTATCCATTTGTTCACATCCTAGATACATGTTGTAACTAAACATCAGATATCTTTTGTTTTTATGTTAAATCTGTAAACTGGTTTTCAGCTGCATTAAATTGAGAGAACTTAATTTTTTTGTGTATTTTTTTAATGTTTGATTACAGGGAGATTGGATCTACTAGCTCAATATTGTATAGACATATAATGTGTAGCTAAACTGATAATAATTGGGACAATAACATCTTTAATATTTGACTTCTACTGAGAGAGATAGAGCACTTGTTGACATTTTCTCAGTGTCCTGATGGTTCTTCAATATAGATCATAAACACAAGTACAGAACAGCCACTCACACGAGAGGATGACATCAAGAAGGAACAAAAAAGATGATTTTGACAGATTCCATCATCATGATGGAAAATAGGTTGCTCAAATAACATCTGTTATGGTTTGGTTTGGAAGTTTCATAATAAGAAAGGTGCCATTACTGAACAGAATTATAGATAATATAATTTTTAAAAACTTCTTATTTCTAGTCACCGTGGTGTTGGCGACTAGATGCCCACCTGCATGTCAGAAGGTTGTGAGTTCACGTCCTGATGGAGCCAGACTTTTTTCAAAAATTACCTTGACTCTCAAGTCAACCCAACCTTAAGTGGGTACCATGTGCGGTGCAGGGAAATAAAGGCAGCCAGCATGATGCTGACCACATCACCCACCAAGTGCCCATTGGTGTATACAAATATAGGTCTAGCCTTATATTCCCAATACGCCTATAGGCATGAAAAAAGTCCTTTGCTTGTTTTTTCTACTTGTTTCTACCATCTGAGTCTATCGAACTGCCTCTGCAAGCACACAAATTACATTTATCATCATTATTGCCGGATTGACACATTTGCATTTGGCAAAGTGGTGAAGATGATTGGTCACAGCGTTGCAGTATGTTGCTCTTTACATTTATTGTTCAGATGATCGAATTCAGCAACTATGTGACAGGTACAGCTCATCATACGAGAATAACAAGTTCATACCATTGACAGCATACATATTTCCTGGTAACTTCTGAGATGATAGATTTTTGAGACACATATATCACCAGAACAACTTCACAGCAAATACTTTGTATATGAATGAATTAAATACTTTTAAGTGGTTCTGTGTTCAAATCCCTCTTAAGGTTAATTTTAGATTGACCTGGACTTCCAGATCAGGGTATTTAAAATGGGTGCCAGAAAATGTTTTGGAAGTAAAAGTAGCTGGCATTTATTTTGCTGTATATCATCCACCGAGCATCGATTGGTAAAGATAGATATGGCTTAAGACTATATGCACAGTATACTTAAAAGCATTGAAACCTGTCCTTTAATTTCTCCTTCTTTCGTTCACTTGAAATAGATTATCTCTGTCTGCAATGTTGTCTCTAGTATGAACTTCATTGTCTTTTGTAATTCACTCAGCGACCCTTATAGTTTTACTTGCATCGATGTTTTTCTTGGCCTAAAATATTTCCTTGATATGTTAATTTATTTATTTTATTTATTAATTTTAATTTTTTTGTTTTTAAAAAAAAATCATATGAGACATTCAGAATTCAGGAATTCTTTGGTTTAACATCTAGAAAATATGCATTTTATTACATTTTGCTAAAGCTGTGAAGTAAATGAACTGAAGAAAATAAAGTCTTACACAATTAAGGATTTACAAAACTAGTTTGAATTGTCTTCAGTCTTTTTTCCTCTTCTGTTTTTGCCCTAGTCAAATGCTGTCTGGTGAGGTGATATGGACTGACTTCTAACTTGATCAGAACTGAATTGATTAATGATGTGGAGTTTCCCAGTTAAGAAAAGGATGGTTTGCTCCCCTCTTATCATGAAGTAGTAGACTGGAGGTCTAGCTCTCTAAGATGGAGGACCCTTCAGCAGGACCCTTGTGCATGGAACAAAATCCCTGCAAGTGAACATTAAACACTTACTAGAGATTATTTACGGCATGTAAAGAGTTTACACATGTACTATGATTCTCCTCGTTTAGCACTATAGGAAATGTCTGGAACACTCCCATGGAAAGGACCGCAGAACATCCAGGGATTTTCTTGTGCAGGGATGATACTTTACAAAAACTTCCTAAAAATACTATGTAACCATTTGTTACTATAATAAGTCAGTATTTGTTTGCTCTGTTTCTGTGAAGAAAACTGTGTTTTTAATGTGAATTCATGCCTTTATATAACACATTGTAAAACTGTGTTATCTATTAAACAATTTGTCTATTATCTCTTTAAACATAAAAAATATAGTCTAAAATAACAACATTCTATTTTTGCAGTTCTGACTTGCCACGTAAGCAGCATTCTCAATGGTGTCATCAGTTCCAACAAGGTGCAGGTGGGCCAGCAGGTTAACGTGACCTGTAATCCTGGATACAGATCCACAACAGGAGAAAATACCATGACATGCAACAGCAACAGAACACTGACTCCAGGAATCTCTTGCCAGAGTAAGCTGGCCTCAAGTTACCTTCTTTCTGTGCATTTAGTATATTTACTTTATGCAACAGGTAAATCTTGAGACAAAGATAAAACTGATGAGTGTCAACAATGTTGCACAAATTATTTGTAACTTATTGCTATCTTTGATGTGTCTAATTGATTGTTGAAAGAATTTCAGGAACAAATAGTGTTAATTCTGATAGCAGTGCATTGTACACTAATGATTATACTGAACAGCAGATGACATCAGTTCATATATTAAACCTAGTTTTAACAATGCCTGAATTCATTTTGAAATAATAATTATTGTGATCATTGACACTCCGTTTCTGTCTGCAGTTTATTATCTTTACAAAAACTACTGATTCTGGCATATGTAATATCCCACTGATAATAGCACATGTTATATGCCACTGAAAATGGCACGTGTAATATGCTACTGATAATGGCACATGTAATATGCCACTGATAATGACACATGTAATATGCCACTGATAATGGCACATGTAATATGCTACTGATAATGGCACATGTAATATGCCACTGATAATGGCACATGTAATATCCAACTGATAATGGCACATGTAATATGCGACTGGTCATGGCACATGTAATATGCCTCTGAAAATGGCACGTTTAATATGCCACTGATAATGGCACATGTAATATGGCACATGTAATATGCTACTGGTAATGGCACGTTTAATATGCCATTGTTAATGGCACATGTAATATGCCACTAATAATGGCACATGTAATATGCCACTGATAATGGCACATGTAATATGTGACTGGTAATGGCACGTGTAATATGCCACTGATAATGGCACATGTAATATGCCACTGTTAATGGCATGTGTAATATGCCACTGATAATGGCACATGTAATATGCCACTAATAATGGCACATGTAATATGCTACTGATAATGGCACATTTAGTATGCCACTGATAATGGCACATCATCACTATCACAATTAATGTATCCTATTTTGTTAAGTCTAAAATTATCATTATCATCGAGTTTCTTGTTAATTGGCGAAGACAGTCTTACCTCTCCACAGTCTGTGGTCTCCACATTTTGTGTGCTGACACCCCTCTATACCATTACCAAAAGTTGTCCAAAATGTTTTCATGTTGTCTTCTTCTGCCTCTTTTTTTCACAAATCTTTCCAGTTGTTATGTTATGTTATCACAATCAACGTCTTCACACATGCATGCTCAGTCCTGCGATGCAGGGGCCACTCCAAGTTACCTCTGCTGATTGTTCCTATGAGAAGTTGGTTATTGTATCTCTTGTCTTTACCTCAAAGATGACATAGACATGCTTCACTTTCAACTCCTCGGTCACAAAGTCGTTTTAGCATCAGAGATTGGCCATTATCCTTCAAACTAATCCGTACAGCTTTTATAATATTATCTATGTCTGTGCTTCTTCCAGTTTGCATTGGTGCATTACATGCCAGCTGGTCAAATCTCTCATTATCATTTACTACTGCAAGCCCAGCTGTGTAGATCCAGGTGTTGGAGGTTAACTGCGACTTTTGAATGCTTTCTACACATTTGGAGCATAGATTACCTGTATCGATTTTCTGAAGATGTTCATAGAGTCTGAAACGATTACCACATGTGTGGTCACTTGTTCTGATACCCATGCTCTGGAAGCAGCAGTTATCTCCATGGTCACGCTTGATGTGGTTGTCTTATAAGCACAGCTATCATCTTTTATTGTTTTCCCTATCCTTTCCAGAGAAAACAACATGTGTTAGTTTCCCTCGACATGGCCAAAAATGTTTGCTGTTTTTTTCTGGTGTATGTGGTACATTGTCTTCAGGCCTTCACCTCTTTTAAAACATCTGCATTACTTTTGTTGTTGTTGTCCACATGAAGCATGCTATCAATGGTCAGTTTTTACTTATACTTCTCTTTCTGAAAGTGTCCTGAGGATTTATATTGCATTGCTTATATCATTTTCTTTTACAAATTCATGCTGTTCTTCTCAGATTCCTGGTTTAATCATGTTTCTTATTTTTCTCATAATTATTCTCAGTAACTTATTTGTCACATGACTCATAATAAGACTTACTGTGCAATGGACTGTGCAATGGTCTTCAAATTTGTAATGGTTTTATTCTAAAATAACACAGTGTAGTGATCTTCATGTTTCTTCAGTGTTTTGCCATGCCATGCCATGTATTTGATCTCATCTTGGTCATCTTATGCTTATGGTGTTGAGATGAATCTACACTGTGAGAAAGTTATAATTTTGTGTGCTTGGGGGTTTTCTTGGATCTTATTCCCCCTGTCCATAATTTACCTGGTTGACCTCTCTTTTGTGATATAATGTCTTTATACATTTAAGTTAAATGTTCAAACCATTGCACTTTTTTCTGATGAAATCTAACACTGTGACAGCCCCACTGGTTTTCAGGTTTCATCATTTCTGGCCTAGTTTCTTTTCGATATGTCAGCAGCTCTTCTCCATAATCTCAATTCATTTGTAATATGTTTGGGGTATTTTCTTTAAGTCATTAACCCAAGTCGTGCATTGATAGCATAGGTTTTGTAGAAAGATTTATCACATAGTGCTTTTTTAGTATCTACTGAACCATGTTCATTTCTCAGTATTGGCTTTGGTCTGCTATAATAATAAGAAAAACTCCACAAGGGAGCATGCACAGCAGAGGTCTACCGGTCTTCAGTAGAAAATCCTTCATTGTTAATTGTTTTTGCCCATTACTTCCTAAACAATTTCAAAAGGTGAGCTGGCCTGGTTCATGACACCAGGCCCCAGTTATCCTCTGCTGCGTCGATGGATTAGCATACCTTTCTGACGAGACGATACGAGACGACGGTGTAATCAATAGGTAACTAGTGAGACGATTTGGTTCATTTATGCAGAGCTTTGTTCGCGCCGCGGCAATGGCCTGCCTGAAAGCCGAAGGTTTTTGACGTTCACTGCTGCCCCTATAGTATGCTTCTCTGGATTAGAGGCAGGCTAGTGTACTGTAGCCAGACATGTAGATTCAGACTTTTTTAGTTTTTAGCAGTCGGCAGAGAGACATTGACAGACACTTTGGACATTTGGCTTTTGTTCTTTTGTTCTCAGTGGCCCAGACCAGCCTACGGAGGCTCCCGTCATGTTTCGTTGTGTCCAGAGCCAGTTCGAGGCTCTGTCAGCGGCCTCACCCATTTGCTTTAGTCCCCTTTTACACTGATTTCCTCGCAATCCCAATTGTTTTAGCACATTGTAAGTAGATGTGGATACAAAACATTGACCAGCCATCACAGTTTGACCAGTCATCACAGTTTGACCAGCCAAAATAGTTTGACCAGCCAAAACAGTTAGACCAGCCATCACGGTTTGACCAGCCATCACAGTTTGACCAGCCATCACAGTTTGACCAGCCATCTCAGTTTGACCAGCCAAAATAGTTTGATCAGCCATCTCAGTTTGACTCAGGCCAGCCGCTAAGTCATTGTACTTCTCGAGCTAGTACATATGGCTTTCGTCTATTCGCGACTCATACAGCACGGTCAGCTCCATCAGGATGAGCTGATGTTTTTCTGTAGAGTATAGGACTATGTCGGGTCGCAGGCCGGTCTTTCGGATTAACTGTGTGTACCTCTCGTGGCCAGGTAAGTCGACCACCAGTAGCCAGTCCCTTGCACAGTGAAGCACAGGTGGAGCATATGTTATTTTAGTTCTTCTACCTTTGTAGACCTGCCCAGCCTTGATGAAGCTCATAGGGGTGACCATAGAACTGGCCCTAGCATTGGCCCTCATTCTAGCTTGGTCCACAATATCCGCTAACTCTTTCAGGACTTTATTGTGGCCACCAGGTAAATCTTCCCGGGCCTAGGGCTTTTTTGCACGATGTCAGGACATGCTCTGCTTAGCTCTGCATAGTGGGCATGCGGGTCCGTAGTCGCACGCCATTTCAACATATTGGCGCCAGAGGGTAATATATCATTCGCTGATCTTATCACGAAGCTCAACCGCAGGGAGGCCATTCGCTAAATCTCTCCCCATGTGAGATTTCGTGGCAAGGTGCTCTCGAGGCCTATCCATTGGTGAAGTTATACTTCCTACTATTTCCTCAAGTTTCCGGATTGGGGTGTAGATTTAAAAAAAAAGGACTTGCAATCTCAGTTTGACCAGCCATCTCAGTTTGACCAGCCATCTCAGTTTGACCAGCCATCACAGTTTAACCAGCCAAAACAGTTTGACCAGCCATCACAGTTTAACCAGCCAAAACAGTTTGACCAGCCTTCACAGTTTGACCAGCTATCTCAGTTTGACCAGCCAAATAGTTTGACCAGCCATCACAGTTTGGCCAGCCGAAACAGTTTGACAAGCCATCACAGTTTGACCAGCCAAAATAGTTTGACCAACCATCACAGTTTGACCAGCCATCACAGTTTGACCAGCCATCACAGTTTGACCAGTCAAAACAGTTTGACCAGCCATCACAGTTTGACCAGCCAAAACAGTTTGACAAGCCATCCTAGTTTGACCAGCCAAAACAGTTTAACCAGCCATCACAGTTTGACCAGCCAAAACAGTTTGATCAGCCATCACAGTTTGACCAGCCATCACAGTTTGACCAGCCATCACAGTTTGACCAGCCTAAAAAAGGGTACCAGGAAGTATTCTCACAAGTAAAAGCAGCTGGTTTGTTGTCAGCCTCATCACTTAGTGAATGCTGATTGATCTGTAAAAACATGGAGCTGGCACCACAAACTCATGATACTTTAAGTGGCGCGGTGATTTATGTCACAGGCGTGAGGGGAAGTTAAGTCCAACATGATGTGTATAAGGAGATACTCCGTACGTCACTCGGGCGCCAGTCCTTCACTATCCTGGTTGTACGGAACCTCACGCAAGACCCCTACAGCACGTCCTCGTCGTGCGCCACAGATAATGTCTCAAATGAGCATTAACAGAGCTGTCAGGGGATCTCGGAGTTTGGCGGCCCCCAGAGGTGATGTGTCCTTGTGGCTCTCATCAGCCCGCCCCCAAACGCTTGGGTGAAAAATGTTATCAAAACTCATTAGGAACATGAGTAGGGTTAACGAACATACAGCTAAAATTACAACCCTTGGTTAAAAGACTGCTGAGTAAAGAGATCATTGCTCACTGCACATCCTCTGTTAATTCTCAGTGTCGTCGTCACCGCGCTGAGGTACAACCACAACAGCAACCATCCATAGGCTGGCCATCCTTGTACATCCTCGGTTGGCCCTCAGTGTCGTCGTCACCGCGCTGAGGTGCTCCACAACAACAACCATCCATAGGCTGGCCATTCACGTACATCCTCTGTTAACCCTCAGTGTCGTCGTCACCGCGCTGAGGTACACCACAACAGCAACCATCCATCGGATGGCTAAGCCTAAATGTTTGACAAAACTAGATCATACGGATCAAAATCTGACCATCAAAATTTGCACTGAACTGAAAAAGACCGAATATCCACACCCAAAGACCCCACTCGCCCGAGTGTTGGGACAAAACTGATAACGATACGCCTGATTCAGGATGTGAAATTCTGTCAGGCTAATGTACCTATCTGTGTGGTCACAAAAGTCCAAAACCCACGGGCTGCTCCCCGCTGACTTCCAGAGGGCGCAGCCCCTGTCGAGTGGGAGGCCTGATACGGTTGTGAGGTTAAGCAGGCATGTGCAGGACGTGACGATTCCTTGGGTGAGCCCAGAATCAGAGCAATATGTGCCGGCTCTGCATGCATGGAAGCCTCCTTGGATGGCGGGGAATGCCCATGATCTGCCCCTGCCTTCCCTTGAGGGCCAACTGTTCCACAGGGGGCTGCCCCAAAGGGGTACTCTGGGGGCAATACCTGCGGCGAAGGAGACAAAATGGACACCACACAAATCAGGCAACGTCTCGACCCACACAAAACAATGGCCACAGTCACCCTAGAAATAGGCCTGACGTCTTCCTTCGAAGTCGGCGTACAGCTGCCCAAGAGGCAGGGAAATGAAAAACGGTTGTACACGCAAAAATCAGGTCCAGGTGAAAGCCAAAAGTCCAAGCGGACGATTAACCGGGACCTTCCACTGGAATTCACAGCCGGTGTTCGATGAAAAAAAAAAAAAAAAATGATACTTTAAGGCATGGAAAGGGTCCATTATTTTACTTTGTTTTTGTTTTTATTTTCACCGGGACGGCTAATCCAGTCAACAGGTACCTGTAGAAGTCGCAAAAACCGAAAGGCGCAAAGATCGCAGTCATGCTGTAAACGGACACAATGCAATTACATTTTCATATCAACACAGAAGAAGAAGTTTTGATTTTCTAGTTAATTAAGTCACTTTTACCTTTAATGGAAGTCACAGAAGCTGCGATTTAAACATTTTTGATGTTGGACTGTATTCTTTTAAAGCTTTATTGTAACCATTTATGATTTGTATATTACTGAGCATTGTTTTTTTAATATATATATTAAATATCAAGTCATTTAAACCTGTCATAGTGAATATATCTTGTGTATCTTTTTGTTTATCTTCAGATATCAATGAATGTGATAATAAATCAATATGTCAGCATCACTGTGTTGACACTGAAGGTGGTTACTATTGTACTTGTAATCCTGGGTTTGAGGTTATAGGCAGCATCTGCAGAGGTAATTCTATGAGAGTAATGATGAAACATTTTTTGTGATCATGTTATTTTTTTTTTTTTTTAAATTGAGTTTGCCCAGGTCTTTGTCATGCAACACACTATCATACACTGTAGAAATTGTATTCATGGACGAGCCAGTTGGTCCTAAATAAAAGCTGTGTGCAAAATGTTCACAATTAAAGAGCTTTCTAGAATGAGGTTTTACAGCACAGTCACTGTGACAAGCTATACAATTTTGACGGACCATGATAGAAGAAACAGCCATAAAAATGCAACAGCATCTCACATCCGTGTAAAAAAAAAATTAACATGAGAATAAGCACTGAAAATACAGAAGTCAGCAGGAAGAAAGAAGCAGAACCTAAATATAGCATTAGGGTGCAAAAGGCGTTAAACAGGCTTCTTCTCAAAGTCCATGTTTTGTGGCGTTGGTAGTCATGTCTATCCACAACCTTCTGTCTTGTGTACTCACAATCACCATCTGACACAGATGATTTCCATGCCATGATGTCAAATCTGTTCTGTCAGGCTCCCTCTGCCTCTTTTCCCCTCTAACTTTCAACCCTCACATAGTACTCCAATTTTCTCCTTTTCGTCACATGACCAAAACATTAACCAGGGGATCTGGCCGACTCAGGTATATGTATTTATTTAAAAAAAATATTGTCGTGATCTCATTTTTCTTGTCTTGGTTGTTGACCTCCTCTTGTATTGTGTTTTTGCACAAGCCTTTTATTACTATTTTGTCCTTCTTTAAATTAAAAGCTTTGTTTCAGTTTCAGGCTTGTCGGTTAAGCACTTTTCCACATTCCACATGGAGAATGTATACATTGGCTTAGAATTTTAGGTGACATTTCTATACAATGGTGTCACTCAGGTTTTGGGTTTCCTTCTCTTTATTGTGTCAGTCACTATAGTTCATTATCCTAAGTGCATAAAATGACTGTCTGGCCTGGAATTAGACAGTAAACATTTTCTTTCAGAACTCCACTGTGATGAAGATTTGCAATGAAAGCAGAGTCATGGGCATTTTACTGCACACAATGTTTCACTGATTCTTGTAGGTGCTATGCAAACAGCCTGAGGTTTTCTCAGCAGTCATACCTTGTTGTTTGAGCACTTGAGCTGTCCTTTCAGTCCTTGCTGTTTAAGACATTGGAAACAATGCCTGTTAACGCTTACCTCTACAGAAGAATTATCCCACAGCATTTTTTAAATCTTCCTTAAATCTTCATGTTTTTTCTCACTGCTGTCCTGCAAGACTTCCATAGAATCTGACATTTGTCCGTTTGAAAGTTGCCAAATAGACCAGTCATTATATGTAGAATCTGCTCTCGTTTTTAAATATAAAAGAAACATTTTCAGTACTATAATTGGTATAGATATTTTTTTTAAATAACGTATCACTTTGTACTCTAATTCAGATATTGATGAGTGTCAGACAATGAGACCTTGCAATCATACATGCACAAATAAAGAAGGCTCTTTTGAGTGCAGTTGTCTGGCTGGATATTCACTGTTTGTATTTAATGGAACACAGCGTCATTTCATTCCTCCTACTGAAGATGGAACACATGCAGGGGATGTGTACCAAATTAATCACACTTGTGTGCGTAAGTAAATATTTCATACTGTTCCTGGTTTCAAACCTTAAACGCATCATCATATCAGAGATGAACAAGCAATACAATATACAGTCAATGTATAGCTTTTTTGATTGTTTGATTACTCCAAGAAATATTTTATGCAGATGTGAAAGTAAAAGTTGGCACCTAATTTGGGCTAGTTGGCACGTTGTTTAAATGAATATTTTATTTACAGATAGTATGAATATTGAATCATAATACATCTTATTGCTAGTGCTAATGTAGTAAAATTACATTTTACCCCACAAGCACATCACACAAATTAGAATTTTTGAGAGCATGCAGCTTCCCTGTGGCTACATACAGGTGTGAGTCGTGGACTATCTCTCTGTCCTTAAGAAAGAGAATAGGGGCTTTTGAGCTGAAATGCTATAGAAAGATTCTCAGAATATCTTGGACAAAGAAGAGGAGAAATACTGACATCTTGAAAGATCTGAACATCAAGGAAGGTTGGCTAAAAAAACAGCATCCTGTCTCGGAAGCTGAAATATTTTGGTCATATCAAGCGCCAAGACGGATTGGAAAAAATTATAGCAGAAGGCATGGTACCAGGAAGGAGAGGCAGGGGCCGACCGACACGAAGATGGGTACAGGATATAAGTGACTCCTTGAGTATGAAAGTACATGAGGCGGAAGAACTGGCGAGAGACTGAGTTTCTTTCAGGCAGGCTGTGATGAGAACGACGTTCTGCAAAGGACCTGATACATAATGATGATGAGGACATCACACAAGTGATAAACACCTCATGGCATAAAGTACCATCATGCGGATGAGGATCACCCATGGAGAGGTTCCAGAAACATCATTCAGCCATTAAGCCATTTTTATGGCTGGGCTATATTGCGGCCAGGGTGCGGCTCCAAGAAAACAAAAAAATTGCATCCCACAAGAGGATAACTATAATTAATTGCTAGTGCTAATTTTACCCCACTAGGATGTTACACAAGTGATAAACACCTGATGACTCAAATTGCCACCCGAAAACCGCATTCAGCCATTAGACTATGTTTATGGCTTGGCTATATTGCGGCCCCTGGCAAGAGCCAGGGTGGGGTTTCAAAATAGAGAAAAATTGCATCTTGTATTATCAAAAATCAAGTTCCAGTACTGCAGTTAACTAAAGGGGTTCTTTACCTTACTCTCTTTAATTCCATGTATATGTCAGCACTAGCGTTTCCCATGTGCTGGCAGATGTCAGAAATTTAAGTTCAGAAAAGTTTTAGAAAAAAAACCCCTAAACTTTGGAAGGCCATCCTTTTTGTGATTGTAATATTTTAAAATTATAAGTTCATTTGTGTGACTGTTAAAATGATAGGGTTTCTGTGGCATACATTGAAAACGATAAAAAAGTACTCCCAGGTTTGATCTAACTGGGAACTGCTAGTCTACACTGAGAGGTGTGTGCAAGCCTGTATCATGAATATTGCTGTCAAATACTCTGTTTGCTATTTTCTTCATATATTAGAAAGTGGTTAAGTCACTGATTCTGGATTGCTTTTGAACTCTTCATTATTTAACATTTTCCTAACTTGGGGGGGGGGGGGGGGGGGGGGGAGTGAGAGAAAAGGTGGGGGGGGAGGGGGTGTGGGTGGTCTGTTTTTTTAAATCCTGATAGTTTTTAACTTTTGAAAAAACAAAAAAACAGAAACAAGTCACCACAAACAAACGTGATGAAAAGTGTCAGGAGGTATTATTCCTGATAGTTTTGTAACTTTTGACCCAAAAAAAAAAAAAAAACCAACACAAATCACCATAAACAAAGGTGTTGAAAAGTGTTAGGAGGTATTAATCCTGATAGTTTTGTAAATTTTGACCCCCCCCCCCCCCCCCTTCCCCTTAAAAAAAAAATTTAATTATCACAGACAAAGGTGATTAAAAATGTGAGGATCCTTATAGTTTTGTAACCTTTGACAGAAAAAAACAAAAACAAAAACACTTATCACCACAGACAAAGGCGATGAAAAGTTTAAGGAGGTATTTAGGATGTAGAGACAGTGTGACTGATCAAGATATACATGTTCAGGATTCTTGTGGGTTATTCTGTTGAATATTCTGTGATGTCAGAATTGTTTGGTTTTTTTAATCATAATTCTGATGTCTAGCATACATGTACATCTTCTGTTAAGTTTACCTAGATAGGTAAAATAGTCACTTGTTTTGTATATAGTTTCTTCAGTTTTGATTTGTAGTGATGTTCTATCTTTGTCATCTGGAAATTTAGTTTCATATTATAAATTATTACAAATTTATTTACTTGGTTGAATAATTTCAGGAGTGACTGTTTTAACTCTCATTTTGCGGTCTATTACATAAAAGTAATTGAAGCAAAAAATTATTTTAAAGTGCCATTTACATTTTTGGTGTTTTCTGTGAAACTTCACTCACATAATCAAGAAAAGAGCAGAGCAAAACATTTAAGTAAATGTATCATGGTATTTATTAAACCTTGCATTTACTCTCATGACATTTAGTACCTTATTACATTAGTTTTCAAATAATATTATTATCCATTCATACAACCATATCTATGAAAGTTGGGTCAAATAAACACATTTTGTAATATTATTTTTGCTTTGCAGGCAATCTTTGTTTACCTCCTCCAACCATTCTAAATGCAGCTCTGTTATCACAGAAGACTAATTACTATTATGAAGACACAGTTATGTACAAATGTCAGCTAGGTTATGTTCTGGAGAACCCAACAGCCAACACTCTGCAATGTCACCAAAGTGGAAATTGGACAGGATTAGAAATCAGATGCAGACGTGAGTAGAACTTGTTTTGTGCAATGGCTGTGGAAGATGAATATTATTTTTGCTAGGAAAAAACATAAATGTCAATTTACAAAGTTGTTATTTTCATTAAAGTATGTTACAGGAAAGCAGAAAAATGTGCACAAAACAACACAAAACGACATTTCGACCAGTGGCCTTTCTCGAACAAGTAATTAACTACACAACGGTAGCAAAGATGAAAAGTATTCAAATCTCTAAAGTGTGATATGAGCAAAAAAGGGCACAGAGGAAATCAAGGCAGCAAGTACACACACAATTTGCCAAGTTGGCTGTCAAAAACACGTACATTGTTGTCCTACTTGGTAAGGGTCCTTTGTGAAATAAATGATTATAACGTGTCTTTGACTTTCTTGTTGTTGGAGACTGTGGGTTCATCACTTCTGGTGGAACAGAAAACTGGGTTTCCCAGTTGGGTGCTGGCTTCCTCAGTATAAAAATCCTTCCTCCAAACCACCCCAATACCCCCTTTGTCTGCCGATTTTGTAACAATATCATCCCTCTTTCTGAGCTAGGAGAGTGCCTGCCATTCACCTGTGGAGAGGTTGGATTTAGGCAAAGGTCTCTGTTCCAATTGTTGGATAGCATGGAGCGTGTGGCTGATAAAAAGTTCAATCGACTTAGATTTACCAGACAGAGGAGTCCACAGTCATCGGGGTTTGTTAGCCATTGAAAGGAATGTAGTTTTGTCAATAGGCACCTTGGGGGCAGGTGGTTGACCCCAACGATGAAGTTTCAGGCACAGACAGCGATAGAAAGAGTGTGCATCCTGAAAGAGAGTGTGCTTGTCAGCATGCTGTCTCAAAGGGATAAATTGTAAGCCTTTACTAAGGAGGGAGTGTTTGTCATCGGAGAGGGGTAGGTCGGGTGGGAGGCAATTAAGAAGATTATGGGCTAGGAGTGGATTAGCAGATGATCCAGAGGATTTTGGCAGCTGGAGGCAGTTCATTTTATCCTTCTTGGTTTTGGTGAGGAAGGAATACCACTCATGATTGGTGGTGTGAATAGTAGAGTGGATGATCAAATTAGGCCAACCTGTTTGTGGTCTGAGCCTCCATAGATTGTTGCAAATTATTAATTTTGCATATTATTAATATTAATTTATTGACTATACTATGGTAATTCCCTAACCTGTGGCTAAACTAATGTCCCTCATTGTTGATTCTTTGTGTACTATGTGAAAACAACGCATTACAAACTCCAGGAGAGATGCTTTCCCCACCAAACACAATTCCTCCAGTGATGGATCAAAATTGATTTTGACTTTTCATCCTAACAATGTGGTTGCTTATAAAGTATTCTTTTACCGCTCTGATCCTGACACCAGGATGATCTTAAGTGAGAAGCTGAGATTAGTTTATAGATGTGACCGCAACCTTAAAGACATAATTGTCAAAGCGAACTCCCACTGATTCGCACAGCACTTCCTTTAGGGACTACTTTATGCCCCCGCATTTTGTGCAAAACATGTCCTTTCGTTGTACAGACCTCATCAGCCAGTTTCCCTAATGATTTTTTCAAAATTATTGAACCTTTTACTTGTGAATCCCGCAAACTAATTTATGCCATAATCTGCAAAAGGAGCAGCAAGGCATACATTTGGAAAACTGGCAGGAAGCTAGCTGATAATTTCCGATAACACCTCTCCAATATTGACAAGAAGACACTTGAACTGATTTGTCTCCATTTTAACAGCTCTGACCACAGAGGTAAAGATAATATATCTGTCACAGCATTAAAATCTTGCTCTGGCGATCATACCACACGCCTCGCTTTGGATCATTGCCTAATCAACAGCCTAGGTGTTCCTAGTCCAGGTGGCATCAATATCCAACACACCTTTATCTAAATAGTTTTACTGTTATCACATTTTCAATTTTCATTATTTTATTTTATATTATTTCATATTATTAATTTATTTTATGTCCTATCAGTACCATTTATGTATCATTAACATTTGTATTTCTATTACTCTTTCATTCCTACTATTATATAATAACAAAATTACTGTTCATTTTTTGGGTCTACTTTTTTTTTAGCCTTCGTTTATTTTATTTTTTTCATTCACTCCACATCACATTTTTTTTTTAAAGTTGCTCACTTCAACCCTTAAAGATTTTAATACTCTCCTCTTTGTTACCATTGTGTAGTTCATTACTTGTTCAAGAAAGGCCAGCAACCGAAACGTTGTTTAGTGCACTTTTTTCTGCTTCCCTGTTTCGTTAAGCTTTTTAGTTTTTAGTCACATTTCACTGAAATTCCTTAGTATTAACTTGACTGCAGTCACCACCATATTTTCACCACTTTTCAGAAAAAATAGAACATAAATGAGAATCTATGGAGCATTTGCCATTGCACAAAGATGGTCACACAATACAGCAGTTATTTGATTTATTAATTTGAATTCATGTTGGCTTAGACTCACACTTGTCGCCACTCTAGGAGGCATATTGACCAAGTTAAATAGTTTGAAAATCTTGTTAGATTTGCTGATCTAAAATAAACAGATGTAGTGACCCTTTTGTGTGTGATCCATTTGTGGCTTTATCATTTACACAGTAAAAATGGCTAAACTATGTTTTTTTTTAAAAACAAAAATGATAACATTTTCTGAGATCTTTAGGTAAAGGGATGGTTGTGATGGCTGACAAACCAGGCATCAGCATTGTTTTAAACAAATACTGTATGTAGAGTTAGGAGAGGACATATGAAATGTGTGGAATTAAGCCAGTACCTAATAAATGCAGTTACAGTCAGCAAGACCGTGCAAGAAATACTGAAATTGCACTATAATTATGCAAGGAATTGTACCAGAATTATGAACAAGACCACTATAGCAAAGCAAATGACAAACATGCAAAAATGACAATTTAGAATGCTACACCATCCTTTATAATTAGCAACATCTAAAACAGATGATCAAGAACAGTTTAACAGCCATTGAGAAAGACTGTTCTAGATGGAACTCTGCAAAACTTTGGGTGCAAATATTAGAATGTCTAATTGTGCTGGTTATCACTGTGACCATCGCACAATAAGTCTTATGAGTCACATGACTAAGATTTTACTGAGAATAATTATGACAAGAATAAGAAACACAATTAAATCAGAAATCAGTGATGAACAATGTGGATTTGTAAAAGGAAAATGGACAAACAATACCATATACATCCTAAGGACATTGTCAGAAAGACTGATTTGAACCTATGCTTTATAGACTATACAAAAGCATTTGACTGTGTGAAACATGAAGAAGTAATCAAACTGTTAGAAAAATTACCAATTGATGAAAAAGATCTACGAATAATAAAGAATATGTATTGGCAGCAAACAGCAGCTATAAGATTTAACTGTTCAGGTACATTTCAGCACATAAAGAGAGGCCTACGACACGGATGTGTACTGTCACCTGATTTGTTTTCACTATGCAGTGAATATATAATGAGATCTTTAATTGATATGCACAGAATTGTGGTTGGTGGGCATAATTTGAACAATTGATGTTATGCTGATGACACAGTCTTGATAGCAACAAGTCAGAAAGAACTACAGGAAATGATAGACACTGTGGTGGTAGAAAGTGGAAGAATGGCCTCAGTTTGAATAATGGGAAGACAGATGTAATGGTGACAAAAGCTGCATTTGATAAAATATCTTATGCAGTATATCACTGTCATTGAAGGTTAGAAAAATAATTCTTACTTGCTACACACATCCAGTTTTAACATATGGCTGTGATGAACAGCAGGCTAAACAATTTCTTGAGGCTTCAGAAATGCGGTTTTACAGAAGAATGGCTTAAAATACCTTGGACAGCCAAAAAGAGCAACCAAGAGGTTTTGAAAGAGGTGTGAGCCCGAATACAACTTATCACATCAGAATGAGACAGTCGTCATTTTTGGCCATGTTATGAGAAGAGGGAAGTTGAAACATGTTGTGACCACTGGAAAGATCTGTGGAAGGAGGGATAAAGGAAGGCAACGAGAGAAGATTTTTGACAGTCTTGTTGCATGGCATGGAGATGTGCAACACACAAACTGATACATGCTGTAGGAGATCGCAGATTGTGGAGGGGCATGATCGCCCATGCCAGCCAGCAAGGCACCTGATGATGATTATGATTATTTGTGCCCTAACATCTAAATATTTAGCATAACAAAATGTAATGACATTAGCTAACGTTACTGTGGGGATTTCACTGCTGAAGTAAGTATATAGTTAAATGTGGGCACAAAGATTTATTATCTAAACCTGAAAGATGTACGTGTTCAACTGCTTTGACATGTATAAATTATAGTAGAATGACTAGACAAGCTGGTCAAAATTGCAGTGAAGATAATATATTGTTTTGCCATTTTCAACACCATTTTTTGCTTTTCTCTGCAGACAGACTCTCCTGAATGCCATTTATTTAATTTATTTATTGTATTATATTGTCTGTTGTGATTGCCTGCCAGACAAGTCGTTATGTGCTCAGATGATCAGATTTTTTGAAAGCATGTGGCAGCTGAACATGCAAGTTTGGTATTGGTTCACAGTTTTCTTGTATCTCCTTAAAAATTTGAAGTCTCATAATCGTTTGATGTAATTGCCTTCTTGAGCAAGGTTTTTATTACACACATTGCTAGATTTGTGCTAGATTTCATGATGAATCTTTCACAATAGGCTTAGAGACACATCTGTGTCTGTCTGCCTTTTCATGTGCATTAAAATCAGTATATTTAGGCAAAATCTGGAAATGATGGTGCTTATTGTGAATTTCTAAAACGGTTAAGACCACAGCCTGTAAATCAGGTCGTACCTTTGTTAAGCATGTTTGGGAAGTTATTCAGTATACATTTATGTGTATAATTCTGCATTTCGAACTCACAGTCAAATTTTAGCTAGAAAGTCCAAGCCCAGAACCTGTGGTGAACAACTGATCCATCGATGCAGTCCACTTTTAATGTGGGAGTGGTAGTTGCATTGTGGCC